GGACTGGAAAATGGTCAGGAATAAGGGTCCGATAGATGGAGCCAAGCAGAAGCCAATTCTATAGGATTCTACCTTTTTCAGTCTGTAAGAGAACTGGTATGGAAGTTCGCCTTCCTGGAAACCCTTACCCTGAAAATATGGTCAAAGCTACACTGTACTTAAAAATAAATAACCTTAATATCTTGGAATGGCCCAGCCAAATTCCAGATATCAATCAATGCAATGAAAAAACTTTGGCAAGACCTAATGTGTATGTAAAGACAAAACTTTTCTTTTAGATATGGTTACAGTAGGGGATAGTTAGGACCCCTGTATTTATTAATCCATTTTTGTGTTTTGCAATTTGTGTTTCCTAGGAGAGATTTCCATTTACTTTCTATTTCAGAGATATAACAGGAAGTGAAAGGAAATCTCTCAAAAGCAAAGGGAAATTGTCAGTTGACAGTTAACAGGTGTCCCTCTGTAAGACTGGAAGATTTCTCTCACCTCCTGTTCCAGAACAAAAAAAGGTACATTTTCCAAGCTGGAACACAGACAGCAATACAAAACTGTGTGTTAACTAAGTAGGGCACCAACTAAACATTCTTAACATTCTTAGAGTCCAAATTATGTTTTAATGATTCTGCGAATAAAAACTTTTTTAGTTCAATATTTTATTTGATATGTGTTATCCCCAAATTTTGTATCTTTTTTAGCGCTGATGAAGGGAGATTCCTGAGCCCCTGAAATGCATTGGCTGCCTTTCCTGTTGTCATTTGCAGAATTAAACACCTTTTTAGACACTACTGGTACGTTTTCCAAGCTGGAACACAGACACCAATACAAATCTGTGTGTTAACTAAGTAGGGCACCAACTAAACATTTTTAGGGTCCAAATTATGTTTTAATGATTCTGCGAATAAAAACTTTTTTAGAATGTTTGTTTGGTGCCCTCTTCGGTTGACATACCTATTAACTTCCAATTTCAGGTGACTTCTGTTCATATTTAACAGGACCTCTGTTGTGTGAAGAGCTACTAAACACAAGCCATTTGGTTTTATAACAATATTTTTTTTCATTATCTATCAGATTGAGTGATTAGAACCATGGATCTGCGGCTAAAATGGCGAGCTGTAATTGAATTTCTGGTGAAAGAGGGTTGTACACCTAAGGAAATCCATAATCCGCTAAAGAATGTCTGAGGATGCTGTAGTTCTCCTTCTTGTAACTTCTTCACCCAACGCCACACATTGCTAATGTCCACTACAGCGTCCCTATAAACATTCTTTAGCCGATTATGAATTTCCTTAGGTGAGCAGGCCTCTTTTGCCAGAAATTCAATTACAGCTTGTTGTTTTTAGCTGCAGATCCGTCGTTTTAATCACTCAATCTGAAAAAGAAAAGCAAGGACACCTCTATAACATTGTACATGAACATTTACAGTCATTCTAATAGATCTAAAATTACATTTTTTACATTCCTTTTTGATTGACTTTCGTACAAGCTAAACTCAGAGGTCAAGGTACATCAGTGTCTGATCCAACATCCTTGCATTTTGGGCAACAGTGAACTCAAAGGGAGATTCCACTGTCCCATGAAAGGGTACCAACACATTTGCCCATACAGCTTTAATTGCAGTAAACTTT